ATCCCTACATTATAATCACAAGACGCTGCTCTTCAAAAGGAGCTGTGGATGTGCTGCCCCAGGAAATGTTCTCCCAGTTACAGATGAGGGCAATCTCTCGCCCAGAGACCAGCACACCACTGCCCAACCTGTCTGTCTCCAGGTTTTAGTCTCAAAGTAACTCATTTGTACACAACTATCACCAATTTCTCCCAGGGGGACTCTGAATGCTTTTATTACACAACACAATAGTACTGATTCCTTTTTGTAGGATACCAACTGTAACTTAGACGCAAAAACACACAGTGGAACAAGGTCTTTATCTCTACTACAAAGAGCTTCACTTCTCTAATTTCCTGGCTTCTTGCACGCCAGCATTTACATTCATAGATTAAGCAGACAGTATTCGAAAACTTTCATAGCAATATTAGCAAATCTTTTTTACTTCTGTATTGCATTTGCCAATATTAGTAGAGTTAAACCAGCTTTAAACTTTATAAGGTAAAGAGATTTAAAACCAACACATTTTGAAGGATAATTGCACAGCAGTGCTATTAATTAAAAATATTTTTATCTATGAATTGACTTGTTACATGTTTTATGTCATTTCTAACAGCAGTAGCAACTGCCAAGCACCTGCCCAGTTTGAAAGCCAAGACCCAGAGAGGAGCGGGAAGTCGCGGTGGCATCGCCCTGCTGGAATGGGGACTGCGGCTCCAGGAGCCAGGGCACTTCTCAAGAATGAGAAGCCAAGAGGAATTGCCTGTTCCCAGTATCCTGGTACAGAAGGAGCTAGCAACCACCAGAGAGATGATAGAGAGCGAGCTTAAGGAGCGATCTTCCTGGGATGTGGAGACCAGGTAAGCAAGAAGATCAAAACAGAGGCGCTGTGGTTGTAAGTCACACGTTATTAGGAAATGTATTTCAAAGATGCCACTTCATTTCTGTTGCCTGCAGGGGAGTTCACTTGAGTCACATCAACACACAGGTTCACTACTCCCCCTTTTACAAACTGATGAATAC